TTCCCATGGCTTCCATCATTTCCATCTGTCTACCCTATTTCTATCTGGTTGGTCAGAATAAAATCCAGAGTAGCAAGTTCCCTCATTACTTTATCTACCTTTGGTCAAAGTCACTTATATTTTTTTTAAAGAACTGATAGGACCACCAGAAGGATGCAAATAACAAAGCATTCTTAAGAGTTAATTTCTTGAATATAAATGCAAAGAAAATACCTTAAATAGAAAACAAAATATATTCCTTAAAAACTCTAATGAACACAGGACCAGATTGGCAATGATCTCCACAGAGTAAAATGAACACACACTCTCTATCTTCTCTCTTTGCACAGTTACCATCCAGGTGCTGCTCCTGACTGCATGGGGCTCTAACTCCCAACCAGGAGGAGATGCCAGGACCTGTGCCAAGATCAGAGAGCCCACTGGGAAGAGCACATCAAAGGAAACTTTCAGGTCCTCACAGGATGCAAGAGCAGAAAAGTTCTTCGTAATCATACAGTCTGCTTCCTTCTTATTTCACAAGTGAAGAAATTGAGACCTGGAGAGACAGAATAACTGTCCCAGGGCCCAAAGTATTTGAATCTGGGACTAGAACAAAGGCCTCTGCACGACACCAGTGGGAGCTATATAAAAGTTGCAGAGGCCAGATCCCACACCAGCATTGGTGGATTCATACACAGGCGTTCCTAATGTGCAACTGAATAATTTGCTGTGCACACATGATTAAACGCTTGCACTATAACAGCTTTTTAAATTTGTATTTTTATTTGCCAATTTCTCTTTATATTTCTATTTGTTTTTGTGTTTGCCTACATAATAGCTTTATTAAGAGAGAATCACATACCATTCAATTCATTCATTTAAAGTGTATATTTCAATAGTTTTTAGGATATTCACAGAGTTATACAACCATGACCACAATCAATTTTGAACATGTTCATTGTCCCAATCCCCATGCCCATTAGCAGTCACTCTCCATTTCCCTCCATCTCCTCCAGTCCTAGGCAGCCACTAATCTACCGTCTGTCACAGATTAGCCTATCCTGGATCTTTAAAGATGTGGTCTTTTGTGACTGGCTCCTTTCACTTTAGCATAATATTTTCAAGTTTCAACCATGTTGTAGCATGGATTAGAACTGTACTTCACTCTTTATTGCCGAATAATATTCCATTGCATGGATACACCACGTTTTCAAAATCTTTTCTTCTTTTTTTGAGAGGGTCTCACTCTGTTGCCCAGGTTAGAGTACAGTGGCACAATCAGGGCTCACTGCAGCCTCAACCTCCTGGGCTCAAGAGATCCTCCCATCTCAGTCCAGCCCCCCACCCCACCCAAGTAGCTGGGTCTGCGGATGTGCAGCACTATCCTGGCTAATTTTTATAAAAATTTTCAGTAGAGACGAGGTCTCACCATGTTGCTCAGGCTGGTCTAGAACTCCTGAGCTTCAAGCAATCCTCCTGACTTGGCCTCCCAAAGTGTCGGGATTACAAGCATGAGCCACTGTGTGTAGCCTTAAAATCTTTTCATCAGTTGATGGGTATCTGGGTTGTTTCCAATTTTTTCTGTTATGAATAATATTGCTATAAACATTCATATACACACTTTTATGTAAGCATATGTTTTCTTTTCTCTTGTATATATACTTAGGAGTAGAACTGCTAGATCACATGTTTACACTATATTTAGCTTTTTGAGGAAATGCAGACTTTTCTGAAGCAGCTGCACCGTTTTACATTCTTATCTAACAGTATGTGAAGGCTCTAATTTTTCTACATTCTCAACAACACTTGTAATCATCTTTTTATTACAGACATCCTACCAGGTGCAAAGAGGTATTTCATTGTGGTTTTGATTTGTATTTTTGTGATTCTGTTTTTTTTTTTTTTTTTAGATTTTAAAATCATACATTTATACATGTAAAGATGTATGGTTATTATCTCTCTCTCTCTCTCTCTTTTTTTCTTTTTTGAGATGGAGTCTCATTCGGTTGCCAGGCTGGAGTGCAGTGGCATGATCTCAGCTCACTGCAACTCTGCCTTCCACCTCCCGGGTTCAAGTGATTCTCCTGCCTCATCCTCCTAAGTAGCTGGGACTACAGGACGTGCCACCACATCCAGCTAATTTTTTTGTATTTTTAGTAGAGATGGGGTTTTGCCATGTTGGCCGGGATGGTCTCAATCTCTTGACCTTGTGATCCATTTGCCTTAGCCTCCCAAAGTGCTGGGATTACAGGCATAAGCCACTATGCACAGTCTATCTTCTTATTGAAAAACATTTTTTCTTTTATTTATTTATTTATTTTAATAAAGATGGGGTTTCACCATGTTGGCCAGGCTGGTCTTGAGCTCCTGACCTCAGGTGATCCACCCAACTCGGCCTCCCAAAGTGCTAGGATTATAGGCGTGAGCCACCACGCCCGGCCTGAAAAATAACTTTTAATTTTCACTTTTTAGAGACAGGGTCTCCACATGTTGCCCAGGCTGGTCTCAAACTCCTGGCTCAAGTGATCCTCCCTCCTCAGCCCCTCAAGTTGCCAGAACTATGGGTGCCTCCTGGTACACCTGGCTTGGAATATAACTTTTATTAATATGAAATAACTCCTTAATGCAGAATGTGCTTTTTGCCTTAAATTCTGTCTGATATTAATATAACAATATGTATTTTTGTTTTTGTTGGCATTTTCCTGACATATATTTTTCTGTGTCATTTCATTTTACAGAGATTCAAATATAGCACAAAGCTAATTTATTTATTGTAACCACTGTGAATTTTAATAGACTATGGCTCATTTATCTTTATTTTGACTATTTATAGGGTTTACCATATCGTTCAAATTTACTAGTTTCTTAGTATTTTTTTTTCGTATCTTATAACATTGATTGAATTTTCTTTACTCTGTTTTGTTCTTTTAGTGGTTTTCCTTAGATCAATAAAACACGTATTTCCATTGATTGGTGTCTTTAACCTCCCCTGAAAGGGAAAAGAAACTAAACAAGCGTCTCTTTCCCTCTTATTTACTCTTGCCTCCTCTCATGTCAGAACTGGAATTTCAGTTCTAGTAATAATACTGTTAATAATTATTGCAGCAACTAACATTTATAAAGCAACTCACTCTATTCCACAACTTGTATTAAATAATTTATAAGCATTAGTTTCCCTAATCTTACCAGAATGTTTAGAAGATATGCATATGGTTATGCTACCTGTCAGGGATTATGAAATCAACAGCAGAGCTTATAGTAACATTGTTCATCGACATGTATTTAAACTTTACTCTTAACTACAAGTTTCTCTAGTTCCTTTGCTTGTAGTTACTGGCTTCTTTGAATTTAATGGAGTAAATCCTTCAGTATTACTTTCTGAGACAGTTTAAGGGTGTTTCTCACATGTCAATGTGTTTCGTTCTGCTCTCGCACCTAGAATATTAGCTTGGATATAAAATTAAGCCCAAAATAACTTTCCTCCAGAATATGTCTTCATTAAGTTTAACATGTAAGTTACCCTTGTAAATCCTGATGCCATTCATATTCTCATTTCTTTGTAGATATTCTGTCTGTCTCTCTCTGCTACACATTATTCCACGTGTGAATGTACCCTAGTTTATTCAACCAATCTCCTAAATATGAGTGGATACATAAGTTGTTTGTAATATTTTATAATCATTTTATAATGCTGCAATATATAACATCTTATATATGTATTTGTAAATTATTGGAGGTAAAACTTTACTGAAAATTTCTAGAAGTGGTACTGCTGAGTCCAAGGGTAAACTTATGTGTAGTTTTGTTGGTTATTACAAAATTCCTCTCAATGAGTGTTGTATTCATTTTCATTCACACAAGGAATGTTTTACAGTACCTATTGTCCACAGCTTTACAAGCAATGTGTTTTTATATTTAAAAATTTTTGCTGATCTGTGAGAAATAGTATCTCAGCATAGTTTGACTTGAATTTCTCTGATTATGAGTGACCTTGAACATTTTTTTGTGTATGAAATGTCTGTTCCTATTTTTTATCCATTTTACTGTTGGGTTCTTTGGCTACTTATCCTTTAATTAACTCATCTGTGATATATGTTGTTGCAACTATTTTCTCCAACTTTGCCATTCATTGTTTAGCTTTGTTTATGGGTTTTTGTTTGTTGTTTTTATCATGCAAATATTTTCAAAAACATAGTTAAATTGATGCATCTTTTCTTTTATTGCACCTATATTTTGATAGTTTAAAAGCCTATTCTTATATCCAGGTTATAGAGAAATTCGCCCATATTTTCTTCTAATAAATGTATGTTTCTGTTTTTACATCTCTGCTCTTTTGGTAGCTTATTTTTGTAAATGACCAGGTATATAAATCTAATTTTATCCTTTTGCCTATTCAATTGTCCCAGAATCATATTCAACAAATGTTTTTTACTCAATAATTCAAGATGCCACCTTTATAATACACTGCAACTCCATGTGTATTTGGGTCTGTTTTCATTTCTACACCATTGGTCCCTCTGTCTAGTCTATTTATGTACTAGTACTTGGAATGTCTTAATAATAGAGGCTTTATACTTTGTTTTCATATTTGAAAGGGCTACTCCTCTTATCACTGTTCTTTTTCCATGTTTTCATAAGTATTCCTGCATGCTCATATGAACTTTAATATCAATTTGTATAGCTCCATTGAAGAGCATTGATATTATTAGGATTGAGTTATATTTATGAATTTACATAGGGGGAACTGACATCTTGAAAACATTGAATTATTCTATCCAAGAATGAGCTGTGTCCTTCCATTTGTTTAAGTCTTATTTTTTGTCTTTTAGGTGAATGTTTGTTTCATATTTCTTATTTAGTTTTTGTTAGGTATTTTATCTTCTTTGTTGATATTATGAGTTTTCTACTGTTATATTATCTAACTGGTTGTTGTTCACATATAAGAAGTATTGATTTTCATATGTTTTCTATTTTTCTAATTTACAGAATTCTTTAGTTAGTTTTATCATTGATTTTCTTTCTGAGGAAATTCCAAAGGCTTCTAGGTATATTAGCATATTTTCCAAATATAGAGTTTTACTTCCTTTTTTCTCATTATTTTGCCTCTGATTCATTTCTCTTTTCTAATTGTGTTGGCTAATACACTCAGTAAGATATTAAATAGTAGTAGAGGTAGTGGTCCTTCTTGCCTTGATCTTGACTGTAGTGAAAATACCACTAGTGTTTCTCCATTAATGAAATTATTAGTTAATTCCTATTTCCTTGCAGATTTTTAGTGGAAATCTTGTCAAATACATTTTTCAGCATCCATGGAGAACATTAATTTTCCACTTATAACTATTAATTTGGTATATGTTCAATGTTTCCTAATATTGAACCAACCTGGCCTAGCATTGAACCAACCTTGTTAGTTATTCCTAAAATAAATTCCACTTTGTCATGATGTATTATTTTCTTAACTTGGTGAACTTGGTGTTAGGTTCCTTTTGATAATTTTTTATTTAATATTTTTGCATAAATATTTATAAATAATATTGTGAGAGGAGAGAGAGAGAGAAATCAACTAGGCAGATAGTTAGGGCAAGGGTCCTCAGTAGAATTCCCTTCCAACAAAAAGCAGCTCAAGAGGTCATTTCTCTTTCAGCAAAGTGCAGCCTGAGAGATCATACTGCAAACATAGATAAGGAAAGCAAGCTCTAACACATAAAGGGGCCCTCCTATGCGACATATGGACATACAGTGGGCCCCAGTAAGCACAGTCTTCACCCTTTATGGAAATGCTAAGACAAGGAGGCTTGCACAGGGGAAGGAGGATAATGGCAGGGATGTCCCCACTGTGTTCCTCTCCACCTGGGTCACTCCAAAAGGAAGAAGACTAAGGAATGCCTTTGCTTCCTCTCCCCTTCTTTCTAGATGGGTAACAGACATCTTCAGCCTGCTCTTCTCTTGAGTGCATTCTGAAGCACTGGAATTCTTTGACCCCAAGACTCTGAAGAAAAAGTGGTCACATTCTTTTGCACAAAAATGTGGTCTTCTTACCAGCTTGGGGATGGATAAACCTGGCCTTCTGAGGGAAGTCTGGATTTTAATAGTATCCAACAATTAGACCTTTTCTGTCTGTAGACGAGAGGGCAAACGGTCCGAGGTCCCATGTGTAAGGCTTTCTTTGCCCTGCAGGACAACTCATACTTCTGCAAGTGATATACAATCGACCCAGGTATTTTAACAGTCATATCAGGCAGACACATGGGGAATGATTCCCCAAAGCTAAGAAAACAAATTCCTGGGAAATTCTCTGAAACAACTACTGAGTGTCTCAGCCTCTCTTGTTTCATTTATCTGGGGCTCCCTCCTCCAACTGCACCATTAGCTCCTTCAGTTCCACCACTTCCAAAACTCCCCACTTCTTCAGCTTCACTTTTATTCCTGCAAGAAATTCCCAGTGGATGTGGTACCATAGGGGTACAGGATCCCTTCTCATTGCAAGACCTTAGACAAATAAAAGTAGACGTGGGTAGGTTCTCTGATAGCCCCGACAGGTATATAGAGGCTTTCCAAAATCTAGACCAAGCATATGACTTCACATGGAGAGATGTTATGTTAAACTAAATCCCAACAGCTGCTGAGAGGCAGGCAGCTCTGCAGGAAGCAGAAAAAACTGGGGATGAATAACATGTTTTTTATAGCAGGCCAAAAAGGAAAAGAAGAGATAAGGAAGATGAGGAAATTATGGAACAACTATTCCCAATAAGGAGAGAGGCAATACTCCTTGAAAACTCTAGCTGGGAATGTAGTGCCCCCACAAATGAACTGAAAAGGAAACACTTTTTAATGTGCATATTGGAGAACCTTCAAAAAATGAGGGCCAAACCTCTTAATTATGCTAAGCTGTCCATGATAGATTAGAGACCAGATAAGAATCCCTCAGCTTTTAAGGAAAGACTGAGAGAGGCCTTAATAAAACACACTTCCCTGTCTCCTGACTCAGTTGAAGAACAGCTAATCCTAAAGGACAAGTTTATTGCTCAGGCAGCCCCTGATATTAGAAGAAAATTACAGAAACAGGCTACAGGACCAGATAGTACTCTGAAGAACCTCCTGAGGGTGGCCATCTTGGTCTTTTACAATAGGGATCAGGAGGAGGCCCAGAAAAAAAGATAGGAAGCACAGGAGAAGGACAGAGTCTCTGATGGCCACTTTACAATCCTGTAAAGTCCAGGATCCACCAGGCGCATCCACTAATTGCTATCAGTGTGTCAAATCAGGACACTTTAAGAAGGACTGCCCAGGCAGAAAGATCAAGCCAGCTTGACCCTGTTCAGCCTATGGTGGGAAGGTCAAACTGCCTCTGGAGACATAGGTCACCAGGTCCAGACTGGTCTCACAAACGGTCAGGCAAGACTGATAGGTCCCGGCGCTCAATTCCCCAGCTCCAGTGGTCCAAACTGCCATTACTGCCCAGTAGCCCTGGGTGATTCTGGAAACTGAAGGAAGGAAGATGGACCTTTTTCTGGACACTGGAGTTAGTCTATCTGTTCTCTCCAGTCCAAATCTCCCCTCTTCCCATAGCACAACTATACAGGGCATCACAGGAAAGGTTCTAAGCCAATATTTTTCTCAACCCTTTATTTGTACCTAGGGGAACTTACTATTTACACATGTCTTTTTAATCTTGCCCGAAAGTCCCACTCCCTTATTAGATAGAGATATTTTAGCTTGCATGGGAGCCAGCATCCTTATGGCCCTGGCCCACACCTCTGGGCTAATACTGGTTTCCACCAAGTGGAGACAAATAGACTATTTGACTATTTGTCTCCCCTTGGTGGAAACCAGTATTAGCCCAGAGGTGTGGGCAAGCCAGGGGAAAATTGGCCAGGCTATAACCACTCTACAGGTCCAGATCCATCTTAAAGATCCACTTCTTTTCCTAAGCAAAGACAATATCCCCTAACACCAGAGGCTAGAAAAGGGTTAGAGGTCATTGTTAATCATCTGAAGAAGCAGGGCCTCCTCAAACCCTGCAACAGCCCCTGCAACACCCCAATATTAGGGGTACAAAAACCCAATGGGGAAGGGAGACTAGTTCAGGACCTCTGCCTCATTAATGAGGCCATAGTCCCAATTCATCCAGTAGTTCCTAATCCCTATACTTTGCTAACCCAAAGGCCTGAAGAACCTAAATGGTTCACAGTGCCAGACCTAAAGGATGCCTTTTTCTGCATACCACTACACCTGGACTCACGGTATCTTCTTGCCTTCAAAGATCCCTCTGGCCAGACTGTCCAGTTAACCTGTATAGCGTTGCCAAAAGGGTTTTGGGGCAGTCCTCAGTTGTTTGGACAAGCACTGTCTAAAGACCTTTCTGAGTTATCTCATTCTTGGGTTAAAATCCTACAGTATGTAGACAACATTCTTCTCTGTGCCCCAACTGAGAAAGCTTGTGAGGAGAGCAGTGAAGCCCTTCTCAATTTTTTAGCTAATAGGGGATATAAAGTTTCAAAATCCAAGGCCCAGCTTTGCCAACCCTCAGTGAAATACCTGGGTTTAGTGTTGTCTGGAGGGACCAAAGCATTTGGAGAAGAAAGGATCAAGCTCATTTCCTCCTTCACCCTCCCTAAAACCCTCAGGCAACTAAGAGGATTTGGGGGCATTACAGGCTTTTGCAGGTTGTGGATACCTAAGTATGGGGAAATGGCTCATCCTTTATACCAACTAATAAAGGAAACTCAGGCAGCCAAAACTTATTCCCTAATTTGGGAACCAGAGGCAAAAAGGGCCTTTAACCCGTTTTAACAAGCCCTGCTTGGTCATCAGCACTTAGCTTTCTGATAGGAAAGGCATTAAGTCTTTATGTGTCAGAAAGAAAGGGAATGGCCCTGGGAGTTTTAACTCAGACTCAAGGGTCAGCTCAATAGCCAGGGGGTTACTTAAGTAAGAAGCTGAACCTAGTGGCTAAAGGATGAACAGCCTGCCTCCAGGCAGTTGCAGCGGTAGCCCTACTGGTGGCAAAAGCCACCAAATCAACCCCAGGGAGTAGCTTAACTGTTTATACCCCACATAATGTGACAGGATTGCTGTTCACTAAAGGGGGACTTAGGCTAACAGTCACCTCCTTAAATACCAGGCTCTACTACTAGAGGGATGTTCAGGTCAACTAAAGACTTGATCTTGCCTGAATTCAGCCACCTCCCTCCCACAGGAAACTGGAAAACCTGAACATGACCGTGAGCAAGTAGTGATATAAATCCATGCAGCCAGGGGAGATCTCAGGGAAACTCCCCTAGAAAATCCAGACTGGACCTTCTTTACAGATGGGAGCTCCTGTGTGGAACAGAGAGTCCATAAGGTAGAATATGCAGTAGTCGCCCTAAATAGTATCATTGAAAGCACATCTTTCTCATCAGGCAAAAGTGTTCAATTAGCTGAGCTGACAGCTTTTACAAGGCTACTTGATATGGTTTGACTGTGTCCCCACCCAAATCTCATCTTGAATTCTCACATGTTGTGGAAGGGACCTGTGGGACGTAATTGAATCATGGGGGCAAGTCTTCCCCATGCTGTTCTTGTGATCGTGAATAAGTCTCAAGAGACATGATGGTTTTGTAAAGAGGAGTTCCCCTGCACATGCTCTCTCTTTGCCTGCCACTGTCCATGTAAGGTGTGACTTGCTCCTCCTTGCCTTCCACCATGATTGTGAGGCCTCCCCAACAATGTGGAACTGTAAGTCCATTAAACCTCTTTATTTTGCAAATTTCCCAGTCTCAGGTATGTCTTTATTAGCAGCATGAGAGCAAACTAATACAGTGCTTGAATTAAGCAAAGGAAAAACAGCTAACATTTATACTGACTCCAAATATGCCTTTCTCACCCACCATGCTCATACTGCCATTTGGAAGGAAAGATACTTTCTCACTGCCAATGGGTCTCCCATAAAATTCCATCAGGAAATTAACAGGCATTATCCTTAGATTTCCTTTCATGAGAAGTAGCAGTAATGCATTGTAAAGGACCAGAGAGGAACAGGTGAAATAGCTGAGGGAAACAAGTTAGCTGACCAGGCAGCCAAGTCCATAGCATGAAAGGTTCAGGATGCCAACACACTTGAAGCCCCTCTAATCTGGAAAGGCTCCATCAGCGAAATAAAGCCTCAGTATTCACCTGTAGAACATAATGGGCCACTTCTCAGAGATACACTTTTCAGCCCTCAGGACAGTTGCAGTCAGAGGACAGCAAGTTCCACTTGCCAGCCTCCAACCAATGGAAGGTCCTTAAAACCCTTCCTCAAACTTTTCATCTAGGGAAGAATAAAACATATCAATCTATCCAACGATTATTCTCAGGGGAGAACCTACTAAAATACAGTCAAGCAGGTTGTTACTGCTTGTGAAGTCTGCCTTAAAAACAACCCTCTCAACAGATGGCTTCTTCCCCCTTGAGCTCAAAGAATGGGAAGTTATCCAGGGGAGGGCTTGCAAATAGACTTCACCCATATGCCAAAATCGAGGGGTACTCAATACCTCCTGGTGTGGGTGGATACCTTCACTAACTGGGTGGAAGCATTTCCATGTCGAACAGAAAGGGCCTCTGAAGTAGTAGGAGTATTAATCAATGAAATAATTCCCCACTTTGGACTCCCTAAATATCTCCAAAGCAACAATGGCCCTTCATTTAAAGCCACTGTCATTAAGGGAGTCCTGAAGGCACCAGGCATACAATATAATCTCCATTGTGCCTACAGACCCCAGTCCTCAGGAAAGGTAGAAAAAAATGACATTATCAAAAGACACCCCAGAAAATTATCTCAAGAGACTCACCTCCCCTGGACTACTGTCCTTCCCATGGCCTTACTGTGGATAAGAAATACTCCCTCCAAGTTAGGTTTAAGCCCTTTTCAAATGTTGTATGTGGACAACTTTTTCTTACAAATGATTTCTTATTAGATCAGGAAAGCTATGAATTGGTCAAACATGTAACTTCCCTGGCCATCTTCCAACATGAGTTAATACAACTAACAGAGGCCCAACTGCAGGAAACAGGACCACCTTTATTTAATCTGGGAGGCTTAGTACTGGTCAAGGTTCTCCCTTCTCTTTCCCTTTCCCTAGACCCTAGTTGAGAAGGACTTTATACTATTCTTCTCTCCAACCCCTTGACAGTAAAACTTGCAGGAATTGACTGTTGGATTCATCACACTCGAGTCAAAGCCTGGAAGGCTGAGGGAGAAGCCTCAGACAATCCAGAAGTACACTCTGAATATCACTGCAAAGAAATCGGGGATCTTAAATTGAAAATCACCAAGGTAAGTAAATGAGTGAGGGCTATTCATCCTACTCAGTTCCACCCCTACCTAACTTTCAGTCATTTCTGCCTTTCCTCTTGAAATTACTCCGTAGATCTCCAAGGGGAAATTCTATATCTTAGTGAGCAAAATTTTAGCTGGAAATTATTTACCACACTACATTTGTGGGATTTGCTATACTTACCTCGCTATTTGCAACAGGACTATACACTGTGGCACCCTCTGAGTGCAATTTTGGACAAAGCCGCAATTGCTGTAGTATATCGTTTGATTGTTTTCCTTATAGTGGGTCTTTAACATTCTCGGAATGACCACCCACAGCCTGTCTATATTAGGATTAGCCTCATGGGGCTACCAGGTTTTGCTGTACCCCGCCAACAACTAATAAACTCAAGGTACCTTTTAAAAACTTTAAAGTTAGCACAGAAGTTGTTAAACACCACAAACCCAACTTTGAAAATGGACTGCTGGCTTTGCCTATCATCCTCATCTCAGTATGTTGCCATCCCAGTCCCAGCCCGATATTGGGCCATTAATAAGATGACCTATCAACCCAAATACAAGAGGGAGTCCCCTTCAGGTTAATGAACTTCCAAATTAATAAGATGACAGAGGTCACACTAACAGGTCATGCAATGAACGTTTTCCAGTCCTATCAGGGCAACCTTTCCAATTTGGGGGCCCAATATCAACACACACAGAACTAAAATTTCAAGCACCTCTTTGTATTAAGAGAAGCCAAAATTTTTTTCAGGACCTGGGAACCCAAAAAAAAATCAGTGCAACTGCACCCTAGAGATTAACCCCTCACATGATCATATAAACTACATGGTTACCCAAACTGCACCATTTAGATCTCTATGCTTCTCAGGGAAGCCAGTCATAAATAAGGGGACTTTGAAGGATGTGTGATCTGGGTATTGTATAAATAGACCCATTAGTTTGTTCATATTTTCCTATGGGAAGATGGTACTATTCCTGAGGTGTCTAAGTGCCTGTTAGTCCCCCAGTATGAAAAAGCTCCTGAGTAGATGCTGCTGGATATCAAACACAACTACCTATACTGGGAAAACAAAACTGTCAGGTTAAAACAGGATATTTCCCAGGGCTCTTTCTAACCTTTAACTGGGGCCAGCTTGGCAGGAACCCTAACCACCTGGGAAAGTGAGAGTGGCAAACTAACCTATACGTTCTCCATAGAAAATAATTTCTGCCTTAAAAAGCAGGGAGTGTTCTTCCTGTGCGGAACCAACTCCTACTTATATTTACCAGCCAACTGGAAACTGTTTGCTTCTTTACCTGGCTCCTGATTAATACAGCCCCCAGCAATCAATCCCTTATTATACCTTTAACCACAGCAGTCAAGCATAAATGAGCTATTCAGTCCATACCTCTTTTGGGAGGGTTGGGAATTGCCACAAGTGCAGGGACAGGGTTTGTAGGACTCGCAACCCTTCTTTCCTACTATGAAGACTTGTCCAGAGATTTTACAGAAAATTTAAAGGACATTGCCTGAACCATTGCTACTATGCAGAATCAAATAGACTCCCTGGCAGCAGATGCTCTACAAAATAGGAGGGAACTAGACCTCTCAGCTGCTGAAAACAGTGGCCTATGTCTCTTTCTAGAAGAAGAATGCTGTTTCTATGTCAACCAACAGGGATAGTAAGGGATGCCAACTGAAAATTAGCTGATTGGACCTCGAAGATGTGTCAACAACTGTCTGAGTCATGGGGCTCTTGGTCTAAATGGCTAAATTTGGGATCATGGCTCCTCCTTTTGGCCAGCCTGCTATTAATGTTAATACTAGCTTTAATCTTTGGACCATGTTAAATTGCCTAACCAAATTCATCTCTTCTCATCTAGAAGTTATCAAACTCCAAATGGTGTTACAAACAGAGCCACAAATGAACATGCCATTTTTTGAGGACCTTAGCTCGACCTCAGGAGGAACCCTAGCTGCTGTTTCCCCACTCGCAGGAAGTAGCTAGACAAGTCGTCAACCAACCCCCTAACGGCAGTTAGGGTCTCCACTCCTGAGTGTGGAATGTGAGAGGAAAGAGAGAGAAATCAATTAGGCAGACAGTTAGGGCAAGGGTCCTCGGTAGGATTCCCTTCTAACAAAAAGCAGCCCAAGAGGTCATTTGTCTTTCAGCAAATAGCAGCCTGAGAGATCAGACTACAAACACAAATAAGGAAGGCAGGCTCTAACCCAGAAAGAAGCCACCTGTGTGACACACAGACACACAGTGGACCCCAGTAAGTACAGTCCTCTCCCTTCTTGGAAATGCCCAGACAAGGAGGCTTGCACAGGAGGAATGCCTGCAGCAGCACCAATAAGAAGAGCTACCCTGAACCAGAACCTTTGAGTGTTCTGCCCCCCGCCTTTTTTACACGTGAGTACTGGGAAGAGATGAGCAACATGGAGTAACTCAGGCTAAGTAGCCCACATGTGCACTAGAAAGGGTGGGATGGGGACTCAGAAATTCATGCCTTAAGTAAATGAATGCACTCCTCCCCACCAGCTTGTCTATAAAAACACTTTCATTTCACTGTAAAACGGCAACCCATCTTTCCAGGACCCCTCTCTGCTCCAGAGAGCTTTCTTCCTTTCATTTATTAAGCATCTGCTCTAACCTCACCTTTGGAGTGTTCACATCCTTGATTTCCTTGGCTGTGAGGCTGTGAGACCAAAAACTTTGGGTGACCCCTCTGACAATGAGACCAATTTTAATATTTTACTTTTTTTTTTTTTTTTGAGACAGAGTTTTGCTTTTTCACCCATGCTAGAGTGCAGTGGTGTGATCTTGGCTCACTGCAACCTCCGCCTCCTGGGTTCAAGTGATTCTCCTGTCTCAGTCTCTCAAGTAGCTGTGATTATAGGCATGTACAACCATGCCTGGCTAATATTTGTATTTTTTGTAAAGACGGAATTTCAGCATGTTGGCCAGGCTGGTCTCAAACTCATGGGCTCAAGTAATCTGCCTGCCTCAGCCTCTCAAAATGCTAGGATTACAGGTATGAGCCACCATGTCTGGCCTTAATATTTTGCTTTGTTGTAGACTCTATAAAACAGGTGTCAATGTAAATCTTTCTTCATAAAAATGATTTGAAGTTTACCTTCATTTTCATTGCTGTAGAATGATTTATGTGACATTGGGATCATCTGGTTTTGAAGGTTCCGTAGAATTTCTCACG